AAATACAGCCAAAATACACCGAAATCCACCCAAAAATACAGCCAAAATACACCCCAAAATACACCCGAAAAACACCCCAAAAACACCCCAACAATATCCCGAAATACAGCCAAAATACAACCAAAATACACACAAAATACGGCCAAAAATACAGCCAAAATCTACCCAAAAATACCCCAAAATACAGCCAAAAATACAGACAAAATACGGCCAAAAATACGGCCAAAATACACCCAAAAATACCCCAAAATACAGCCAAAAATACAGCCAAAATACAGCCAAAATACGGCCAAAATACACCCAAAATACACCCAAAATACACCCAAAATACGGCCAAAATACAGCCAAAATACGGCCAAAATACGGCCAAAATACACCCAAAATACGGCCAAAATACAGCCAAAATACACCCAAAATACGGCCAAAATACGGCCAAAATACACCCAAACTATGGCCAAAATACGGCCAAAATATGGCCAAAATGTGGCCAAAATATGGCCAAAATACACCCAAAATACGGCCAAAATACACCCAAACTATGGCCAAAATACGGCCAAAATATGGCCAAAATGTGGCCAAAATATGGCCAAAATACACTGAAAATACGGCCAAAATACACCCAAAATACGGCCAAAATACGGCCAAAATACACCCAAAATACACCCAAAATACAGCCAAAATACGGCCAAAATACACCCAAAATACACCCAAAACACACCCCAAAAACACCCCAAAAATATCCCGAAATACAGCCAAAATACAGCCGAAATACAGCCAAAATACACCCAAAATACGGCCAAAATATACCCAAAATACGGCCAAAATACACCCAAAATACACCCAAAATACACCCAAAATCTATCCTGAAATACGCCCAAAAACCACCCAAAATACAGCCGAAATACACCCAAAACCACCCGAAATACACCCAAAATACAGCCCAAAATACACCCAAAATCCCCCATCATTTTTTATTTCCCCCCATTTTCCACCCAATTTCCCCCATTTTTATCCATTTCCCCCATTTTCTCCCCATTTTCCACCCAATTTTCCCCATTTTCCCCCATTTCCCCATTTTTTTCCATTTTCTCCCCATTTTCCCCCCATTTTCCCCGATTTTTTTTTTTTTTTCCCCCCNCCCATTTTCCCCCATTTCCCCATTTTTTTCCATTTTCTCCCCATTTTCCCCCCATTTTCCCCGATTTTTTTTGCATTTTCCCTTTTTTTGTTTCCCTTTCCCTCCCCATTTTTCCCCATTTTTCCCATTTCCCCCCATTTTTTCCCCATTTCCTCCCCGTTTCCCCCCTCCCTGCCCGTTTTCACCAATTTCCCCGTTTTTCTCCCCATTTTTCCCCATTTTTCCCCATTTCCCGTTTTTTCTCCCCGTTTTCCTCCCCGTTTCCCCCCTCCCTGCTGGTTTTTCCCAAATTCCCGTTTTTTCCCCCCGTTTTCCCCCATTTCCCGTTTTTCCCCCCATTTTTCCCCAATTCCCTTTTTTTCCCGCCCGTTTCCTCCCGTTTCCCATTTTTCCCCCCGTTTTTCCCCAATTCCCATTTTTTCTCCCCGTTTCCCCCCGTTTTTCCCCATTTCCCATTTTTCCTCCCCCGTTTTTCCCAAATTCCCATTTTCCCCAATTCCCATTTTTCCCAAATTCCCGTGTTTTTGCCCCGTTCCAGGCGCAGGACGAGTGGCGCTCCCTGGCCATGGCGCTGGACCGGCTCTGCCTGTGGGCGCTGCTGGCGCTGACGGGCGGCTGCGCCCTGGCCACGGGGCTGGACGCGGCGCTGCACCGGCCCCCCGACACCCCCTTCCCCTGACAGCACCCAAAACTGCCCCAATTCACCCCAAAAATAGCCCCAAAATAGCCCCAAAATATCCCCAAAGTATCCTGAAAATATCCCGAAAATATCACCAAAATATCCCAAAATATTCGGAATTTATCTCAGAAATATTCTGAATTTAGCCCAAAATGACACCCAAAAATATCCCCAAAATATCCCAAAATATTTGGAATTTATCTCAGAAATATTCTGAATTTAGCCCAAAATTATCCCCAAAAATATCCCCAAAATATCCCCAAAATATCCCCAAAATATCCCCAAAATTATCCCCAAAAGTATCCCCAAAATATCCCCAAATATTGGGAATTTATCCCCAAAATGTCCCCCTGGCCACGGGGCTGGACGCGGCGCTGCACCGGCCCCCCGACACCCCCTTCCCCTGAGAACACCCAAAACTGCCCCAATTCACCCCAAAAATAGCCCCAAAATATCCCCAAAGTATCCCGAAAATATCCCCAAAATATCCTGAAAATATCCCCAAAATATCCCAAAATATTCGGAATTTATCTCAGAAATATTCTGAATTTAGCCCAAAATGATACCCAAAAATATCCCCAAAATATCCCCAAAATATCCCCAAATATATTCCCAAAATATCCCAAAATATTCGGAATTTATCTCAGAAATATTCTGAATTTAGCTCAAAATTATCCCCCTAAATATCCCCAAAATATCCCGAAAATAGCCCCAAAACTATCCCCAAATATATTCCCAAAATATCCCAAAATATTCAGAATTTATCTCAGAAATATTCTGAATTTAGCCCAAAATGATACCCAAAAATATCCCCAAAATAGCCCCAAAATATCCCGAAATTATCCCCAAAATATCCCCAAAATATCACCAAAATATCCCAAAATATTCGGAATTTATCTCAGAAATATTCTGAATTTAGCCCAAAATTATGCCCAAAAATATCCCCAAAGTATCCCCAAAAAACCCCCCAAAAAATCTCCAAACAAAATCTCCAAAATTACCCCCAAAATTTCTAAAAAAAAACCCCAAAAATCCCCAAAAAATTCCCCCAAAAATTCCCCCAAATTTTCCAAAATTATCCCAAAATATCCCCCAAAAATCCCCAAAAATTTCCCAAAAATCCCCAAAAAAATCCCCCCCAAAAAATCCTCAAAAAATCCACCAAAAAATCTCCAAAATCTCCCAAAATATCCCCAAAAAATTCCCCAAAAAAATCCCCAAAAATTTCCCAAAAATCTTCCCAAAAACCCCCAAAAATCCCCAAAAAATTCCCAAAAAAATTCCATAAAATCCGCCCCCCCCCAAAAAAAAAAATCTCCCAAAATATCCCAAAAAAATTCCCCAAAAACATCCCCAAAAACTTCCCAAAAATCTTCCAAAAATCCCCCAAAAATCCCCAAAAAACCCCCTAAAATTTCCCCAAAATTCCCCAGAAAAATCCCCCCCTAAAAAATAAAAAAAATCCCCAAAAAATTCCCCAAAAATCCC